ACAAGTGTAGAATAATCAGTAATAAGAACCAAAGAAAGCTGGAATATATTGTTAGGGGAGATTTGAAACTATGGAGCATCAGTAATCGTTAGGGGTTTATCCCAGTCAGTTTAAAAAATGTCCCTAGTCCCTACTTCTGATAATTTGATGTCAGTATTTTCTTTTTCTTTCTTGAAACAGAACTTTAATGTTCTTTTTAATGTGATGATGGGGATCAATATCATGAGTGTAACTTTATGAAAAGCCATTAAATATGCTCGACCTAATCACAGGCTGTCCCTAGAGCCCCTATTGAATGGTAGTTATGTCCGAGTTGAGGTAATACAGCCTCATATCATAGGAGAAGTTGACCCACTTCCAACATCAATTATTTTGATTATTTTCATTGCATGTTGTTGGATGTGAAAAGCCCTTACAGTCCATGTGAATATTATCTACGGAGGACCCCTCTCATAAATTGCTTTGCATCTTTTCCCCATTTTCCTTTCATCCCAGGGTGGCAAGACTATTGGAAATAATCAAGTATGAGTTGTAAAGAAGTACCACATAGACTAGACATAGACCAAGTGATGACCATATAAGTGTGAAAGACCCATAAACCTACAACCTTAAGGTTTTGGGTTGAGATGTGGTGTCGGCCCACTTATTATGGTTTGTCATTTAACCCATTGGTAGATGTACCCTTTGCAAAGGGTTTTGGGCTCCCCCATACCATTTCCCAACAGTGGTATCAGAGCCGGATTGGGCTCGAGCTAGCCTAGTGATTGGCTAGGAGGCGGGTCGAGTACTTTGCGCTTCGGGTACTCGGTTGAGGGGGAGCATACCAATGGTGGGTTTCACACTTGAGGGGGAGATTGTTGAGATATTCAAGTGTGATGAGTCTCACATTGGTTGGTAATGAGCTAAATGAAGAGTATATAAGTGAAAGGACCCATGAACCCAATGCCTTAAGGTTTTGGGTTGAGACATGGTGTCGGATCCACTTGCTACGGTTGGTGTAGCCTTAGCTCATTGGTGGTGGCCCCCGCCACGGGCTTCCCCTGGACCCGCTTGTTATGGTTTGTCATTTAACCCATTGGTAGATGTACCCTTTGCAAAGGGTTTTGGGCTCCCCCATACCATTTCCTAACAGTGGTATCAGAGCCGGATTGGGCTCGAGCTAGCCTAGTGATTGGCTAGGAGGCGGGTCGAGTACTTTGCGCTTCGGGTACTCGGTTGAGGGGGAGCATACCAATGGTGGGTTTCACACTTGAGGGGGAGATTGTTGAGATATTCAAGTGTGATGAGTCCCACATTGGTTGGTAATGAGCTAAGTGAAGAGTATATAAGTGAAAGGACCCATGAACCCAATGCCTTAAGGTTTTGGGTTGAGACATGGTGTCGGATCCACTTGCTACGGTTGGTGTAGCCTTAGCTCATTGGTGGTGGCCCCCCGCCACGGGCTTCCCCTGGACCCGCTTGACATTGGAGTTTGAGGGAACGAATTTCCCAAAGACAAGTGGAAAGGATATGCTTTTATTTTATTTTATTTTTCACCATATTTTTCTTCCCCTAACACGAAGGGTGGTGAATTGATTGAAATTTGAAAGGCCAAAGCCAGCAAGCTATATAGAACTTACTGACTTCTTCATATAGACCATTTCAAAATGCGAATATTTTTTTTAGTAAGTAAAAAGGGAATATTTTAATACTAAAAAAAGGGGGAATATTTTACACCTATTAATTTTTGCATGCATTAAGCAATGAATAAAAATATGTACTGTCCCCAAAAGTTCAAAATCCAGTTAGAATTTAAAAAACTTCAATATATTATTTGTGTGTATTAGTATGCACAAATGATTATGCACAAATCATATCCAAAAAAAAAATTGATTATGAGAGTAACATATTTGGAAAAAATACCCTACCTTATTTGAGAGAGCACGACAAAAACTAGGGCCGGCAAAATGGGCTGAGCCCGCCGGGCTGGCCCGCCCCGCCTGCCAAATGGGGCGGGCTGGGTTGAGTCTTTCAACCCACCAGCCCGCCAAACCCGCCCCGCCAGCCCATATGGGTCAGCCCGCCAAGTCATTTTTTTTTTTTTTTTTTTTTAGGTTACCCAATTGTTATGTAGCTCCGTATCTTAGATTTCTCTGCTTGCAAGTGGCTTTTTTGAATTGTTGTGGACTGCTCATACAACACTTTGTTACTTGTTTTGTTATTCTATTTTATCCTGATATGATTTTATTTTTTTATTATTATTTTTGGATTGAAAGATGCATATTTATATGCAGATTATTAAACACTGATCTTCTTGGTTTCATAAGCACATTAGGATTTTATACAGATTTTTGTATGCTTTTATGCAGATTTTTTTATGTGATTTTATGCAGAATTTAATTTTTTGTATTTTATTTTTGTATTTTTTTTTATTTTAGGCGGGCTGGCCCGTAGCCCGCCAGCCCACTCATAAAACGGGCCGGGTTACTCAATTCAACCCATTTTGTCAAAACGGGCCGAGGCGGGCCAGCCCATTTTGAGCGGGCTAGTGGCGGGCCGGGGCGGGCTGGCCCATATTGCCAGCCCTAACAAAAACAAGTTAACCAAAGTATCTTCAAAGCGCAAATAGCGATAGCGAAAGCGCGTTATTCTCGTATGAGCAAAGTTACAAGATGTCACTTCTCCTTTTCCCTAATGTGAAGGAAAATTTGCTTTATTCTATTCAAAGCCATGTCTCGATCTCCTCCAGGAAAAAGACAAGGAACGAAAATGAACTACAATTTACCATGGGTAAACTTTCTTTGTAGGGTTCCCATGAAAACTGGAAGACCTTGTGTCAATTATATTTCCGAAAGGGACTCGGTGATAAGTAAGCACTGACCCCAGTTTGGGTTGTCATTCCCATAAGCATTATACGGACCCAGATGCTTCTGGTCACTTTAGGGTCCTTTGAAAGAGTGCCCTTAATTACTTGACTATTGTTTCTCTTCATCTTAAAAGAATTGTTCCCATTGGACTTTGAAATGTACAGCGACGAATAGTAGTTTCATTTTAGTTGGCAACAGCAAAAGCTATCTCGACTAATTTGTATGACACTAGTTTTGGTTCCCAGTGACCGAGAAGGGAAACAAGTGCTAAATGGGTAACGCGGGAGAGGAGGGACAACCCTCCTAAGGATGTTTGGTACAGTATATTTTGTAGGATTTTCAAGAAACTGAATTTTTTTAAATTTTTAATTTTTAAATATTATCTTAAACTGAATATTTTCATCGTATTTCTGAAAATCGAGATTTTTGGATAAATAAAAAAAATTTCTCTGCCAAATGCCCCCCTAAAACAGAAGTAAAAAGAGAGATACAAACATGATGACCAACCAAGTTTCACTGCAGACATAGAAACTAAAAAGCCTTGGAAAAAGGAGAGTTTCGTGGCTATGCTGTAGTTATTTTTCCTTCACAAGCTTAACAAATCTATTGTTCTAACACGAAGCATCGACATTTCAAAAATATTGATATGTCGTGTTTGACATTCACTGACACTTCGACACTTGCACTTTAAAACTAGTTGCAAAGACTAAAAAAAAAGTTTAAAAGTTACATTGTGTTGTATTTTAAGTTCTAACTATTAGATTTATTAAATTACTATTATATTTTTATTGAGTTTAATATAAATATTTGAGATATCTTATGTTTCTTTGTCAAATTGATAGGTATTATAAGTTTAACTTTATTTTTTTATTACATTATTGAATATTAAATATAATATACATTACATAAATTAAAAATATTATATAATATCAAAATGTATCTTAACGTATCAAAATTTAATATTTTTTTAAAATTAACGTGTCAGAATATCGTATCGTGTAATATTCCGTATTGCATATGAGTGCAACATATGGTCTAACGTCCACAAATCACAATCCAACGGGGAAATGTGCGTGCACGAAGCAAGTAAATTTGAATTCAAATAAGAAGACAGTTTGCACATGAAGGGGTAAGGGTAATGTTAAACAATATTATTAATCAAAGAAGAAAAAAGGACTTAAATAAATTGATTCCGCAGGTGCTCCTTAATGGATCTTGGGATGTCAACTCAGGCCCCACCACCATGATCTGAATCGAGACCTGTAGACTCTGATGGTGGCCTCGATCGGGGATTGAGGACCATTTCAAACTGCATGCATAATCTATGACAACACCGTAATTACCCGTCTAAATCGAACTTAATTATTCGGAAGAAACATTAAGAACAATATCTTACTGTTTCTTACACCCTCTCCACGTACGTTTCATTCAATTTTGCACGTAAATGAATTAGACAATAGATCCTTTCAAAGACAATGGAAAAGATGACATTGCTAAAACTAAACTTACACAAATGAAGTAGGAGTTCTCAAAGAATGCAGGCATGTCAAAAAAGAGTAGATTGATTATACTTCCTCAAGAATATGGGTTCATAGATGAAGAAAATTAATGAAGAATGATATTTGACAAGAAAGCGAGGAAAATGCATTCAAATCAAAGTGAATGAGTTATCTCAATTCAGAAAATCAATACAAAAGAAATGTTCATAAATTATATTATAAATTGGAAAGCAAAATAAACAGAAGCTTTTTCATAAAAAAAATTAAAGTATGATATAAGAGAGACAATAACAATAAACCGAACAAACAACCAGCAGCAGCAGAAAGTGCAATTGCTATTGTCTTTCAGTTCATGATTTATGGTCTCGAATTCATCCCTATACATACATTTTCTCTTCAACCTACTCTTTCTCTGCCATTTTTATTTCAGAACTGGAATACTCATAACAATTGAAATCAATATGTAGAGGCTTTCTCCTCTTATTCCCACTTTACAGTAACCTCTCCTCTGTTCTTTTGTTTGACGACAAATGATAAATATTAATCTAATTAAAGAACAGAGATGCTGCCTTGCACAAACTCTTGTCATTCTCTTGTATAGTTTTCCTCCACAAGTGACGAGAGTCGCATAGTTGACGAAAGGGCCACACAATCATAACAGAGTGGCTCTTGTTGTTTGTAGAGGGAAATGTTAAGAGGAGAAAAGTTATCAAAAGAATCAATAGAAAGGTGGTGGTGGAGGAGATGCGTACGAGACTCCAGAGATAGGTGGCAATGGCCCTTCATATACAGGAGCAGGTGGTGGGTTTCCGTATACAACTGGTGGAGGCGGAGAGGCAGAGGGTGGAGTTTCGCATGGAGGCGGTGATGCTGGCGGCGGAGAATGGTAAACCGGTGGCGGTGGAGAACTGTAATGAACTGGAGGTGGTGGCGGTGGTGAACTGTAATGAACAGGAGGTGGTGGTGGTGGTGGTGAACTGTAATGAACAGGGGGTGGGGGTGGTGGTGGTGGTGGTGGTGGGGAGCTATATTGAACCGGTGGAGGTGGAGAAACATACACTGGTGGCGTCGGTGGATATGGGGAGGGTGATGGCAGGTAAGGTGCGGGAGAAGGTGGTGGTGGCGGCGGGGGTGAATGCTCTTCACAAGGTGGTGGTGAATGGAAAGGGGGAGGAGGTGGCGGTGATAAATAAGGATAAACGGGTGGCTGGGGTGAGTTAGGGGGTGGTGAAGGTGAATGAGTTGGAGGTGGCGGTGAGCTATGATAAGGAGAAGTTGGTGGTGAGGAGAATATGGGACCAGGGGGTGATGGTGAACTTGGTGGCGGCGGCGGAGACCAGTTACCAGATGGTGGTGTGGGAGTAGGTGAGGATGGTGGAGACGGCAATGGTGAAGGTGAAAGAGGCGGTGATGGTGGTGAATACACAGGTGGAGGAAAGTACATCGGTGGCGACGATGGTGGAGTATAAACAGGTGGTGGAGGTGAAGGTGGCGAATACACAGGTGGAGAGGACACTGGTGGCGGCGATGAAGGCACCCCTGAGGGCGGTGATGGTGAAGGTACCCCTGAGGGCGGTGATGGTGAAGGCACCCATGAGGGAGGTGTAGGTGAAGGTACCGCTCCAGGCGGTGATGGTGTAGGTGAAGGCACCATTATAGGCGGTGACGGTGAAGGCACCCCTGAGGGCGGTGATGGTGAAGGTTCCACTCCAGGCGGTGACGGTGAAGGCACCATTGTAGGCGGTGACGGTGAAGGTACCACTCCAGGCGGTGATGGTGTAGGTGACGGCACCACTATAGGCGGTGAGGGTGAAGGTACCACCACTCCAGGAGGCGAAGGAACAAATGGTTTACAGCCAAACGAGTTACAGTCAACAGGCTTAGACAAGAACGACTTACATTGCGCCGGAGACCTCTGCAACGGCCTCGCCGGCAAGCAGTTCTTCCTGTCATCAAAAGCCGGCAAGCTCAGGCACGCCGGAGGCTCACCGGTGAAGAAGTTATACGAATACGTGAAGTTCTTAAGGTTAGGCAACATGCAAATGCTCGCTGGGATTTTACCAGACAGAAAATTGTGAGCCACATCCAACTGCTCCAGACTCACCATGCCTCCAATGGTGTACGGCAAGGGACCAAGTAGCTGATTGAAGCTCACGTCGAACACCGTCAGGTTCTTCAACAACCCAATCTCCGAAGGCAAGCACGAACGGAGTGCATTGTTCATCAGAATGATCTCGTTCAAGTTCGACATGTTTCCCAAACTCGCCGGAATACACCCGCGGAACCTGTTGTTTGCAAGAACTATAACTGAAACTGGCGAGTTGCCAATGTTATCAGGAATATCGAACACAAAGCGGTTGTCATTGATGAAAATGGCATCTAAATCCTTGTCGAACAGCTCCTTGGGCACACTCCCTTCGAATTCATTGAATCTGAGATCCAAAAATTTAAGCGTTGGAAGCCGCAAAACCACTTCTGGAAACTTGCCTGCTAATCTGTTGTTACTGAGATCCAACTCGAAGAGCAGCTTCAGTCTATCAAACCTGTGAGGCAAGGTGCCGCAGAATCTATTGGAGTTTATGTGAAACAGAGCAAGATCCTGCAACAACCCAAGCTCTTCTGGCAAGTAACCAGCAATGTCTCCGTGGTTAAGATCAATGCCTGCAACCGTGCGGATCCTGGGGTTGTCCAGCGCAGGAGCACAGTAAACCCCGGAATAGTTGCACACATTGGATCCAACCCAGTTAGCCGTGAGGTTCTGGGGATCCGAGAGAATGGCTTGCTTCCAAGCTTGCAATGCTATATAAGCATTTCTGATGCGGTCATTCTCGAATACAAGAGATGGGTCTATGGTGACATTCTCTCCTCTGTCGCCAAACTCGTCTCTATAGTACAGAAGCTGGCGTTGCCTGATGTACATGGCTTCAGTGTCGGTGAGTTCTCCATTGCCTTGGTTTGGGGCACAGAGGGAAAGTGAGAGTGTGCCTAGAAACAAGGCAATGAGAAGTGAGAGATTGGAGTAGGCTTCCTTCTTCATCTCACATGAGGCATTTGCTACACCAAGTTCCACCTTTTTATTTTTTTCTTTTGCTGTGCCCTCCTCTGAGATTAGATTGTCGGTGGGTTTTTGCAGAAGCGTCGACCTTGAGATCTGAGAAAAATGCAGCTGTGGAGGATGGTGGCTGAGGATAGAGAAGGGAGGAAACAGGGAAGAGAGTGTGTTTTTTTTTTTTTCAGGGATTTTGGAGCTGTGAGCTTATTCTTTATGGTAACTTGGAAAGAGAGAGAGTGCGCGTCAAATAATTCATCTAAAGGACAGCTATACCACAGCTCAAATGCCCACCAGGTTCTCTCTTCCCTTTATTTTAATTTTTATTATTAATTTTGCTGTTTATTTTTTTTTTCTTTTAACAAAAATAGATCTCTTTCGTCGTTTTGTAACTGAATAGGGGGAAAGTATCTTTATTGCAGACACCATTTATCGAATTCCTAACCGTGGAGTAAATTCGTAGAGTGGCCAGCCAGCTGGCCATAGTTAATTGCAACTAAAGAAATTGAGTTTCCAAGTTACCTTACCCATATACTTAAAAATAGTACGTGTGATTTTATATATACATCTTATCGCACAAGAAACATTAATTCCAATAATATTATTGATTAGGATTTGGCCCATTTGGGGTTGTTAAAAAGGTGCAACACCTGCTAGTTTGACAACAAAATTTAATTCTGAAAAGAACTAACTTAATAATTGAAAACATGTTAGCATGATTGTGGAATTTTTTTAAAAAAATGGAGGGAGTCGGTGATGCCGAATTCCGGCGAGTAGTCCAAACTGTTAAGTTAATATAAATTATCGAATTTATGTTTGGTCGTTGATCCTGATCTCGCGAGATATTGGAGTTGAATAGCGTGGACAATGGAAAATTGTGTAGTTTTCTTTGGCTGCGTTGGTTTACAACGTTAAACGACAGAACGAGAGAACTCTAGGGTGTTGTGACCCTCTCTCTCAAGTTGCCCGTCATTACTTGGACTTTTTCATTTCCTACATTCCCGTGAAACTGATGACCCTTTTTTAACTGATATAGTGTATCGCATACTATATTTTTTTGCATGGGTTGGTATAATTTATATTACTTTGTTAAGTCTATGTTAAATAATTAATATAATTAGGCACATTGTTATTAAGTACAATTTATAAATAGATATTGTACTGAATCGTATATATGAATTACCAAAGATCGGTGAGTTCGATTCATTATGTTGAATTTAAAAGAAAGATATCTGACTTTTTCACAAACAAAATACAGTGGTTTCATTAAAATTAACACTTGATAATTATGGTAAAAAAACAAAAAAAATATATACGTAATCTTTCTCACGCATCAAACTCTACATATTTCTAATTACGATTGATTCAAAACAACAATGTTTGCATTATTTTTATTTTTTTAATAATCTTGTAGTCTAATCATCTAATGTCTAGTTAACATTTTTTTTTGTTTGGTACACGTCTAGTTAACATTTATCTATACTGAATGTACGTTATATCTAAAATTAAATTACATTAAAAACTTCCTCTATTACTTTTAGGCTCCTTCTAGCCCCTGTTGTTTTTATTAACATTTCAATAAGTAATACGAAAACTACTTTAAGAAGCAATCATCTTAAAAATAATTATCTCAGTTAAACTTCTTACGTGGATTATTATAAATTATATGATTTTGAAAATTTTAGGTGTTAAAGTTAATTGGAACATATTAGTAATCAGGGCCATTTTTTTCAAAGCTGACTATGATCATCTTCTTTAGTTCTTTTACATAAGTAATTTGATGCAAACTTAACTTATGGGTTTGTGCAAGCAAATTTTTCATGTAGAATAAGATGTTGTCCCTTGTGTTCTGCATACTTACATTTATAATGAGAGGGTAATCAATTTTGAGGGTTGGCTCTGCAAGTTACTTGCAAGTGATGAGCCAGCAAGCTTTTCAATTTGTTATCAAGTAGGTGGCCTAAAGATATATTTTATAGAGGAGTTTCAGAAAATGACTTACCGAATGTGATTTGGATAGCCATTGCTGACTTGAAGAGTAGTCTTTGCTAACTTAAAGATCCTTTAGAAGATGCCTTTTTTCATGGTAAATGACTCACAAGTGAACTTTGTTTATGGTGAAGGCTTTCACAAGTGCACTTCATATTTATTCCAAATCAGTTAGTAATTTTGTTAAGTCTAAATTAAGTGATTAATATTATTTTATTTTTTTGGTAAATAGTGATTAATATTATTTAACATGTTGATATTAAGCATTATTTATAAGTAAATGTTGTGTTCGACCTTATTAATGAATTTACCATGATGAATAAGTCTAATCCATTATGAAGGAGAACCTTTATTTCCTTTTAACAATTAAAGTGCAGTCACTCCATTAAAATTGATACCGAGCAACTCTTGTGAAAAACAAAAATAAAAAAATTCTCACATCGAACTATACAATTTTTCAAGTTTAATCGACACAAAATAATAATAATTACATGAACTTAATCATTTTTAAAAATACTGTGACCCAATCTTTAAAATTAAATCATAGTTAGAAGTTTCTACTCTTTTTATAGGCCAGCTCTAATGTTCACAATGAATTCTCTTATATGCTATTTTTTTTGGAGTTACCCAACTCTAATTATCTCTTTGAGACGAGTTGGCTCCGTCTGGTATCCCCACGAGCTTCGACTCTTTGAGCTGGCTATGAGACTAATCCGGAGTGCGGGAGAACAGTGATGGCTAAAGGTTATATGCTATTTATCATAATGGTTGTGTCATATATAGAATATTAATCATTTATAGGTAAATCGATAATGATGTCTGAATCATTGATTTTTACCCATATGACGAATATAATTTATTAAGCTACACTATTAATTAATTGTTAATTCTTAATAATTATAATTGGGACAGAAGTCAACAATTTTTATTTTTATTTTGGTAAACCAGAAGTCAACAATTTAAATAGAATATTAGTATCAATTGAACTGCCCCAATTATTATTGTTTTTAAATATAAAACATTTCTGAGATAACCATTTGAAATTATAATACATTTTTTAAAACAATTATTAATAAAATTCAAAAAAAAGTTTTTTTTTATCAACCACAAGTATCCTCCACGGAAGATAATCTTGTTTGGGACGGTTCAAGGATAGATGGTTTTAAAGATGACCGAATATATACTCTCACCCCCACATGCTCAACTCTCATGCGTTAACTGAGCTACCATTATTTTATTCAAAAAAAAGAAGAAGAAGAAAGATTTAAAATTCATCTTTCACGTGTGCTAATTAATTCTAAATTCTCTTAGATATATTAAATTAAATGTAAATGAAAAAATATTTAATATCTTGAGTAATTAAAATTCAATTAATGTTTATAATTTTCTTCCATCTTCAAGGATGAAATTTTAAGATGATTTTTCTCGTAATTAACATCTCTTAGATTTTAATGAAATAAAGCATTAAATGAAATGATTTTATAAGAGTTATGTTGTAGGAAAAATGATAAATGATTATGTAATATTATAGAGATTCGTTTTGCGTGCCTTAGTTTGTTTTTTTTGCTTTAAAAAGTGCAGCCCCACAAAATATTGTGTGTGTAAAAACTTTTTTTGTGTGTCATGTTAAAGGACAAACTACAACCTCTAAATGAAAAGATACAAAGATTTAATATTTTAAAAACTGTAAACATTTTTGTTATTGTTCATAAACTATAAGTATAATTGTCCTTCATGGAAGACAATTATATTAGTATCGAGAATATCCATATTATGATAGGACTAGCTCTTTCAAAAAGAATTTTTTGTATTCATAAGTACTTAAACTTAAGATTTTTCTTAAACGAAATCAAACATGTATCATTTAAACCAATTTTATTTGATTTTAAAAAAGGTGCACGAGGTGTTGTGAAACATTCTAACAGCTCTGTTAAAATTAAAATATTTTTATAACATCTTTTTCATGTTATATCTCTAAGATGAGAAGTACAATTAATTAGAGGGTTTAATCTTGGTGTAATAATAGTGTTGTGAACAAAATAATAAATTGTCATTTATTGATATGCTAGTCATATTGTTTGATGAGTTTTACCATTATATGATATTAAAGTTATTAAATAATGTACTAACACACCATTACATTAACACTAGATTAAAATCAAAATTAAAAAATTGTTTTAACTTATCTACTATAAGTGTTTGGTTTAGAAATGTCATTAAGAAATCATCATATTATCGTTATTACTTTCTGACGTTACAATTACTATGAGTTAGCCTCAATTAAATAAAATGATATAATATTATTTGGATTTTTTTGAAAAATAATAACAAATCAGGATTCATCATTTTAGGAATTCATGAGATTTTCCTTAGAATAACGCAGCCTATGGTGGGGACAGATTTCACGCGTAGTCATGAGCAACTTCACTGAGGACACTGTATTCAGCATTCACACAGAGTGTATGTGAATTTAAACCAAAATGTTATTATATTTATGAAAAACAGATAAAATTAGGCGTAGTGTGGGCCAGAGGCACGTGTAAGCAGGAATGGGTAATGGGAAAGGACAGAATAATTTAATCTGCGAAACAGTAACAGGTAACAGGAAAGTTACCTCGTGCTCCATTAACACAATCCTCCGTCGCGTGACTTTAGATTAGATCACATCGTCACATTTTCAAGTTTGCAACTGTTGGCGCTAACATGTTGCGCGTCTTTATCAGATGTTGTGGACGTGCCACTCTGGTATTGGGACCCACCAAACATGGCAGAAGAAACATGTCTAATGCGGGACGGAAAGCGTCGAATAGCGAACGGGTCATAACTGGGCCCACGCGTCACATCGTTTCCGGCTGGATCATCGGCTTTGAGGATTGTGGATCCCCACGGTTCTCCGTGTCCGCCTAGCTTGCACCTCTTCGCGCCACATCCACTCCACCTAAGTGCTTTTTAGTTAGGAAAAGTGTGTGTCATTTCAAAGGATGTAAAATTGTGTCATT